CAATTTTACCTCAATGTTTGACATTCCGCTCATTTTGTGCGAAAAGGCTGTGTCCGACTTGGGAAATATGTCAATGTTTCGTCGGTTTTTTACATTATAGACTATCATTTCATGTGAACGCAACCGAAAGATGCATCTGGCATTTCAAAACCGCAATGTTTACAGTTTACGTACCAATTTCCTAACATTTGCGACCGCGTTTGATGTTGCGTCGTCGCATGTCGTCGCTGAAACATGTTTCCGCTTGCGGTTCCGCCAGGTTTCCGAGCTGGGCTTTGGACTTGCCGATTTGTTGAGTCCACTTCCAACCAAAGGTGTTTGAACTCCAAGTGCTAGAAAAAAGGCGTGGCTTCGACGCTATCAATGCATGCGCTGAAATTATACTTTCTTAATCTGTGAGGTTGTTTGGTTTGGGAATCACGCTCTTGACTAGGTAGAATGCAGTTGCCAAACTTGACAACATTGATTCCTACATCACGCCAGTCTTCAGCGAACTTTCGGGACCACTTCGTGCATCATTGAAATCATTGACGGTCTGTACAAAAATGAGCCGACACCCGCAACATCTTGCGACATTATCAAAGAACACCGCTCTACCAAACATCTACCTTTTCTCCGCTCTACGAAACATTTACCTTTTCTGTGAGCCTTTCAGATCCCTGCAAACTCTCCACACAACTAATTACACATCTCTTTTCCGTCAAAGAATGTGGACGCTACAGCTTTTGAGTTTAGACAACCCAGGTGTGTTCTCTTTTTATAGAGCAGATGTCTTCGACCTATGTGATTCTACATGTATCTTCTCGATGTTGTGACACGCGTTCCGTTCATTAAAAGAAAATCCTCACCCTTTGGCAACCCTCAAAACGGGAAGGTTCCCATGGTCGAAGTTTCGGATCGTTTTTGCCCGGAAAGTTTCTGATGGCTTCCGAACGAGTAGGTTCGTGGCACTTAACCTGATGCCAATGCCTATATGCTGTTGTACGATGGCGATAAACGAGCCAAACGGTTATTAGGTAGTTGGCGCCGCTGCGAAGTCTGTAACTTTTTTGTTGTCGTTTATTGCGCAAAGATCGAACTTCATGTTTTGCCTACAAGGCAAGCAGCTACAGCAATGACCAACCCTGCTCACAACCCACATCATGTTCGATTTTAAGATCCTGTTGACTCTCATCGCCATCAGGGACCGTCCGACAAACAAACCTAACACCAAAGAGAAAGAAACTGTCCATTGTCCTAAAAAAGAGACACGACTTCGGAGTCAAGTTGTGGATCTGCTACGCACTGTCCCAGCACCCAAAGTGGACAAAACCAAAGCTTTGTACAGTAAAACCCCGCAACGCGACCTCATCATGTCTCCATGGCATCATGAAGGCTCTCAGTCCGGCACAGTCCTGAATCGGACGTGCAGAAACTGAAGCTGAACCCCAATAATGATGCCAGTCAACAGCAATAATGCCATAAACCCAGCAATAGTGAATAATTCCCAATTTACAAGAAATAAGTGGTATAAAGCATCCTCCAACATGGAGGTTTATTCTGGGCGTTCAGCATGATCATCTTGTGCACCCCGTTCTTGCGGTTCTGATTGACATGTAAATCAAATAAGATTCACATAGACCTTAAGGGTTGTCTGTCCTTTCTCAGTTACAGTAAGTTAGATATGAAGATATTCATTGCCCAGCATGAATGCCAAAGAATAAACTCGGGAAAAATTCCACTGACAGTGCGCTGGCTTGGATCTCCAAAGTCTCCAAAAGAAAACTGACATGGGTCACAAAATTTGAGCGCCGATAGACCAAGTTAGTCATCTGAAGGAATAAAACGCAAAAAAGGTGTTGCCTTCAAAAACAACGAAAAAACCATGCTACGATACTGCCATCCCTGTCAGCCACTCCTCCATCATCTTGCCTTCGCTTCCTACTTGGCTGTCCTGGCCACTCATTTTCCATGACTTATGGGCTCAAGATGCTGCTGGTGCCACCAATCATTATCCAAATGGATTATGGAAATCTAACCTACGTGGTTCTCAAGTCGTCTAGCTTGACCCATCCCCAAATCACATCCAAAATCCATGGTACCCTGAAACTTATTTTAATGGAACTGTGATAGGAAAGAGGATGCTAAACCATTGCGGTTGGGGTTGGTTTATTTCAAGCAGCATCCATGTTGCGAGTTTGGAGCCCAACATGGCACGACTGCATAGTAAAAAAATATGGAGTAGTCCCAAACAAGGGTTAAAGTAATCCAGACTTGCACACTCCAGCGTGCCAACTATTGTCGTTCCATCTACTTTTGCTGCTTTCCAGGTTTCCTATGTTCACCCATGAATTTGGGAAATACCAGAAGACCCATGTTTACATTTCAAACTCAAACTGCAGCACTCCAACTTGAACCAAGTTGGAAAGTGTGGAGGTTTCACCGGGCACCGCTTCCTTACACCTACACAGTTGGGACATGATTTAGAAATGAGGGACACCGCCATAATCAACCATCACTTTGTAGGTGTGAGTCACAATCTTTCAATATTTTTCATCATCATACAGGCCTTGACACACCGTGCGTTTTCATCCATGCTGGAGGTGTCCTAAAATGGGGGTACCCCAAGTCACCATGGATCTCAATACTAAAATGAATCTTAAAAAGAACGAATGGCCTACTTTGGAATAATTGGGGTACCTATTTTAGGAAAGCTCCATATGTTCGTGCAACACACTGCCCATCAAGTGATAAGATATTCGGAACCCATTCTTTGTTTGGCGTCCACCCCGTCACCTTCCGCTGCACTCCCTCTGTCGCGGTGATTTCATTCCATTTCTGCACGTCTATCTGCACGTTTTCCGTGTTCCCCGGCCCTGACCGGTCGAAGTTAACGAATTTTGCTGCGAACACTGCTCTGCTCGTTCTCATCATATTATATCATAGTTCTCATTATATTCAATTTGTGGTGCTGGTCTCATCATGTTCTCTCATCGACGTTTGAACCGACAGGGTGGTCAAAGTTCGCTCAAAAAAAAAAACAGCACCAGCCCCTGCACATGAATGTACGTATTATTGGACACCAAAAACGAAAATAATGGCCATCAGGTTATCACCTACTGCCGTTGCCGAAAACCGCAATGCAAATCCATGATTCATATGATATATATATATGTATGTATATATATATATATGTGTATATATATATATATATGTATATATATATATATGTATATATATATGTATATGTATATATATAATATATATATAATATATAATATATATATATCTCTCTCTCTCTCTCTTCCACCCGTCCAGTTTGATTTGTTGTGATCTCTCATTGAATGCCCACCGACCATCGAACCTAATTCATCAATCCAAATCATCCAATTTCATCCTCCTTCCATTTCAAACACACAAAGCCGACATGCATCAAGGTAATGGAACAATTCTATAAATCTAAAGTCTAAAACCAAACATCGGCCCGACCGAATACATCTACTCACACAATGCCCTATACCTGTTTGTTTGAAGGTGATGGGGAGCCAAAGAATCTCATACATCGCTCTGGTCAACTTTCATGAGAAACTACCACGCTGTCTCGTCAATCAGCTGCACTCCTGAAAATTTGGCTCTGGATGCATCAAACTTTTACGCTGTGATGTTAATTTATTGTTTCGACTCGACATGTTGATCCCACTTAGACCCCGCTGTGAGGACACATTCCAACAGGCAAAAATGCTCCCCATCTTTTTCGTCTGTCTGTCCAATAGCGACCAGATATCCCAAGATGCACTGATATGTGCAGAAACCTCTGCGTGACTTGCGTGCATCAGCTCATGTTTGAACCATTTTGAACCCACACCGTTTGGTCTGACATGGTCTGACAAAATGCTGAGCCGTTCTCACTTTTCTGAAGGTCGTTGCGACCGAAATCATGGCAATAGTCATGGGCAAGGCATTTTCAAACTTTTCAGGACCGCTCAGACACTACATTTTTGTCGGGAAAACAGGGGAGCATCGTGGCCGATTTTGGCTGCACCTTTTCCCAAGCTAAAAGACATTCCGGCACAACGGTAAGGATTAAATGTACGGGTGGCTGAGCATGCTATGAGCCGCATCTTTGTCGCAATCGGATTGACATCATGCACGTATTGCTCGGCAAAAGGAGTTGCAACGGTACAGTCGCCAAAAGCAAAACACACTTGTTGCTGATTGGGCCGCAAAGAGCAGCTAGGTGACCCAGCTCTAACATTGGCTCTCCCATTCTTTTCTGACATTCGCATGCTTCAAAATGATCCTACTCTAGGTCCTGAAATCGATGCAAAACAAAAAAAAGATGGTTTGACTGGCATGCCCTTGCTGATGTTTCTCACCTCATGAGGTTCTGGAATCGTTCTCATCGCATTGGTTTCTGGAATCGTTCTCATCGCATTGGGGTTAGGAATTAGGAATCGTTCTCATGACATTCATCGTTCTCAAGCGCATTGGTGTACGGGATCGTTCTCACCACATTGGCTGTTGGAATCGTACTCAGCATGTCAGTCGGTTTGTGTGAAACAACTGCTGCGAACTTTTTTTCCGCGAAAATCTGAAGGGTTGGGAAAAAAATGCGAATGGGGAAGGTAGCGACTTAAAGCATACCTTTCAGTGTTTCGCAACGTTCTCTCTGAAACCCTACCCTTCAAATTTTTGAGAAAAAAAATGCGCGACACAGAACCTGGACGTAGTGGGCCGGTAGGGTTCCACACAGGGTAGGGAAAGGTAGGCTGGATGTGCAGATAGACACGCATGCTGAGAATGACGGGAAGATGTCCAAAAACTAACGCACTGGTCTCAGAATCGTTCTCATGCCAAGAATCGGTTCTCACCGCAGGCATCAGTCTCTGAGCATGCTGTAGCTTCCCTGTGCCAGGTCTACAATGCCTTCATGGGGCAAGGTCATGATCCGATGGAAACTGGTTGGAAGACAGTCCTTGGCAATGCTGAGGAGAGTGGATTGTTTTTGAAGAATTTGAAACTTCCTTTGAAGATTTCTGAGAGGGCATGGTGGCTGAAAGTCAGTTTGCTTTCAAAGCACAAGAGTGGTGTGAAGGGTTCTGGACCAGCACCGATGGACTTGAGCACCGTGAACACTGTGAACACTGTGAAAAGGAGTTGCAACGGTACAGTGGCCAAAAGCAAAACACACTTGTTGCTGATTGGGCCGCAAAGAGCAGCTAGGTGACCCAGATACAACAGCCCATGAGCGGCCTGCTTTACTTCAACTTCTCACCGCTAGGTTGGAATTTCATGAATTTCGGAGATTCATGTCTCGGTTTCATCGCGAAATGAAGACAAACATGACAAGACATTTGCTGAAAGCCGCACAGCTTGCGGATGCTCTGAACGGCCGCCGCGTCATCATCTTCGAGGGATGTTTTGTGAGTCAAGAACAAAAGCCTAACGTGCGCTCCATAAACTTTGAAGAGGCAGGCAGCTGCTCCACTGTGCTCGGGGCCTAAAGGATCCTACAAGCAAACGCCTGACTGATGAATGTAAACACGGTTGTCCTTTAACAACGGGCACACGTTGCACTTTGGACCCCCTTCGCACTTGCTCAGCCAAGCTGATCTGTCTATGGGTTTGACTTCCCACCACTTCGCACCTCTTCGGGATATGTCTTGCAGGACGGGCTCGACTGGCTCACAGTCCTCCGCTGATGCAGTGAACGGTGTACCCCAAGGCGACTTTCTCGACGACACGTACAAAGTCATCTTCTCAAATACGGCGGGTGCATGTGGCAAATGCACTCCCCAAAGTCTACATCAAATTTCAACAGGCCCTTCTATCCATCAGAAACCAGCTATCTGGAGACTGTGGGTTGACATTTCTTTCCTCCATCTAGGCACGCGACAACTGTTTTTTCCATCTTTTTCCCATTGGCTGTTGTGTGGGTTTGGGACTGTGGTGACAGTGTGTTGTCCTTTGAAGCTGGAGGCAAGTCGTACTTGAAGTCACTTCTGAATTTTTCTGGGTTAAAAAACACGGTGGCAGGATATAAATGTGTCGCCAAACATTCAAGCAAAACGCGCATTATTATGGGGTCAAATGCGGGGCCACAAGTTGGCAACTTCCAAATCTTCCAAAAGGAATTCCGAGCTCCTTTTTCCCCACTCCGCTACCCAGGTTCCACATGGGTCTTCTGAACCTCTCCAACAGCAAGAACTTGTCCGTCGTTTCGAAATTTCTCAATGAATTAAACTTTGGGCCTAGCACGTGGGCAAACCGCTGGGTTAAAACCTGAGGGACGGGCTACTGGAAGGTGCATGAGGCTATTCTTGAAAGCCACCTGTCGGTCTGTCCACCAAGTTTCGCCACTTCTTTTTGGCCAGCCGGCTCAGCCTGGCAATGCGGAGCACAACATGAAGGCAGGCACACCCTGCCTCAGCTGGAATTGAGGGCCTGCATGCAACACACAAGGACAAGGATACCGGTACCGGTGCTTTCAGACTGGGCGGAACTGCGTGAAGTTGCTGCCCGGCCTCTGCCCCAAAGAAAATGAATTAACTAGTCATGGGAAAATTCGATCCTGGAGCTTGGCTTATCAAAAATGCTCCGGTCGCAGTGTTGAGGACCCTGGGTGGCTGGCGCAGGCCATTGGGAGAAAGGCTTTTCCGCGTCGGTTCCGTGGCGTCCTAATCGCTCCCGAATTTGCAGCCCCGAGCTTCACTCACAGCTGCGTCATCAGGAAATGCAATCTACACAAAGCCTATAAAGGGAAAAGACGCAGGGTGAAGCATTCCCTAACCATCCTTGCAGCAAGTCCACGTCACTTGTCTTTCACTCAGGCTGTCTCCTGCATGGGGAAGGGATACTGCAGAACCTGCACTAACGGGCTCTTACACAGGACGCGATATGAAGGTGCTCCCATCTGGTGTCCATCTAGGCTGGAAAGAAGATGAAAGAATATCATTCCAAATCGCACTGGCAAAAATTGCACGCTGGAGCAAAACTCTGGCACTCATGGCTTCGTCCGATTTTTTCTGAAACTGCCCACCAGCCGCTTTTCGTTGTTAGGCCTACTAACAACAAGAACCGTTTCGGACCAAAATCTCACTGCAACTACTGGACTGGTTCAACTACATGTGGATGCTATTACCTTCACGACGGAGGCTGCACAAAGGTGTTGCTCCAACAGTACCCTTGCGTGAATTGACAAGTCACGGTGAACGGCTCAACGCGGCATGGCAGGAACTTTTCAGAAAAGTGTTCCGTTAATGCAATCACATATTACTCTGTGGCACTTGCTACCCATCAGGTCCAAAGTTGACGAGGCAAAAACGTAATCTCTACACAACTGTCGCGGTTGGAAGACAAATCTTGGTTCTGCAGTGCTACGGCCAGTTCGAATTAAGATTTTCTGATGTTTGCCATGGACTGCGGCGTCATTCAACCCACCGCAAACGTGCAGTGCATGTGCATCACGAAATTCACCTGTCATTAATTGAACTCTTCAGCGTGAAGAAAAGTGCCAGCTTTGGTTCCAGGCGGCATAATTAAGATGACTTTATGTGAATGGTAACTGCATCTTTGAATGTGGCGTTTTTGGATGTCTGCGCACTTGGCATTCCTGCAATGCTTTCTATTGTTTGATCCACATGAATGAAAAGGTGGTGTAAAGCAGGGCCGCAAAACATTGTCTAACGAGTTTCTTGCTCCCCATGGAAAGTGCTAGAATAGGAGAGACAGGAAGCCATGCTGTGTTTTTATGTCCAGAAGTCCAGAAGCCAGATGACGATAATTTAGGTTGCTTTGATACAGAGCGTGCAACGGCACCTTCACAGACTCTTCCAAACAGGCGCATTGACACTACCTTGAATTTACGACTTGCAGGCGGTACCAGAGAAGGTATCAAATGATACGCCTGGCTCAACTAACCAACAACAGCTGCCTCCACCCCGTGCCCACCAACACCATTCGCCACTTCCAAGGTGTGGTCTAATAAGGAAAGAAATGCCATGCAGGATTGCGAGTTCAAGGCTGTAAATCAGGAGAAAAGTGGCATAATGCAAACCTTACGGTTCATATCTCGCCCTTAACCTACCTTACCCAGGATTTCCTTGGCCATATCGGCGGAAAGCATGCTGCCTCACTAATTTGAAATTTGTCCTGTCAAGGGGCCCATGGCAACAGATCAATTTACAATCCTCCCACACCACGCTCGAATGCATGACAAGTCACACATCCACTGGTGAGGACGTTGCACGAGCGTTCTCTTACCAAATCCAGGCATAACCTCTGGGGCCGACCTGGTTCTTACACCTGCGACCTCCAACAGGCAGAGATTTGGGGGTGAATGGGCAGAATGATAACTTTTTCTGGCGATCTGAAAAATAGCTTGACTGCCGATTCGGGCAAGAAATTTCAGAAATGCTACGAAGGCAAGAATCGCAATTTGGCAAAGCAGGTCTAAGACATCTTCCCTGAGTAATTAACGCTTGAGATTTCTCTTGCATGTGCCGTTTGTTCATTCCATTTTTTAATTCTGCGTCAAAACACGTCAGGCGAGAATACCCGGGAAAAAGGCATGAATACCCGGGGAACAGGCGAGAATTAGAATTCAACAGGAAAGGTTTGACATCCGGTTGGCTTAGTTTGCTTTCGAGGGATTCGTATGTTCAGGAATGACAAATCAGCTATTGCGGTGACCAAGGTCGTCTCCTGCGGCCCACCTCTCCGCATTTGGCGATTTGTGTCTTCAGTGATGGGAAAATGTCAAGTGCTCAATAAGCACCCTTTCGCTGCCATTTGAGCCGTGGTCAAAAGGTGGAGTGGCAAAATCTGACTGAATGGCAAAGTCCGCCCCAGATCTGATTTTCAAGCCAACAATCTAAAAGGAGCCTTTAAGAAAGGCTGATCTTTTTGCTCGAAAGGTGGTGCTATGAATGAACTTGCATTGCAGACCTGGCACTGGGTTGCACGGAGCCTTTCTAGGTAATAATTCGATCTGGGGCTACTCATTGAAGCCTACCGCAGAACGGCGAACAAACTGAAGCAACACCAGGAACAAACTGAAACGAATTACCGAGGATTCCATGTTCGATTTCATGGTAGATTCTTGCATATTTAGACACTGTCGAGACAATCCCCTATCGCCCGATCGCGGTGACTACCTAGAGGCTCCAAACGTGTGCTTTGGACGTCGTTTCTACAAACAGCGCCGTTCGCCTCGCTTGTTTTTCGAATCGAACGCGCGCTTTGGCGCGAAAAACGTGCGCATTGTTGCGAAAACGTGCGCTTTGTAATGCAAATGACGCCGTTTCTACAAAGCACGCCGCCAAAAAGTAAACCGTGCCATTCGCAGCAAAACGTGTCCAAAGCACGACGATGGATCCTCTAGGTATAAGGTCGTCTTCTGCAGCCCACCACGTTTGGCGCTTTGTGTCTTCAGTGATGGGAAAATGTCACATGCTTAAGCGCCCTTTCCCTGCCTCCTGAATCCCTGGGCAGGTGGGGCTTGGCCTGCGTGAAAAATTGGAAGGAAAAAATGCTGGCTCTTGCACAACTCCACCAGGAACGCCATGGAGCGCAAATTTCTTCAATCCAACTGTCTGCGACATGTAGGCACAAATGACAGGCAAGTCTCTTCAAACCGAAAGTTTTCTTCATCCAAGCAGGCAATGATGTGTTTCAAAATATGTTGCAAGTGTTCGGGCAGAACAGTTTGTTGGAAACTCGTGCGCTTCTCAGTTTCAATGGCAGCCCTTGACGCCAATTCCAGCTGCCATAGTCTTTCTACGTAATGAAATGGTTAAGCGGCTGGGTTTTAGGGCTACTCATTGAAGCCTACCGCAGAACGGCGAACAAACTGAAGCAACACCAGGAACAAACTGAAACGAATTACCGAGGATTCCATGTTCGATTTCATGGTAGATTCTTGCATATTTAGACACTGTCGAGAGAATCCCGTATCGCCCGATCGCGGTGACTAAGGTCGTCTTCTGCAGCCCACCACGTTTGGCGCTTTGTGTCTTCAGTGGTGGGAAAATGTCACGACCTGGAGAACCGATTGATACACAAATTTCTGCTCAAAGGGGATTTGATACAACTTGGGAGTGTGTCCTGTTTTCATCTGTTCGATTGGTTTTTAGCTATTCGAGCAAAAACATGGATTCGAGCAGTTTCTGGATCACATTGTGGTTATGTCAGCCCGTCCCCGGTACAGACCTTTGGGTTCAACACATTAAGGGGTGATGTGTGTGCTGTGTGTGCTCGGGCCACACGCTGCTGTGGGGCATCTTCACCAAGAAGGCCTGGCTCAGCACAGGGCAGCCATGGGATAAGGTGGTTGAGATTTTGTTACACCCGCATGTGCTTGGAAAACCTTGGACATGTTCAATCAAATCAATTCTTGATCCGAGGCCCTGTTTCTCAAGTCTACTTAGTTGCCATGGTTCGTTTGCCTGACCCTGACACCCCTCAAAAGCCATGCCCAGTGCTGACAGCATGGGCTCAGCTGGATGCTGTGCTGCAGCGTGTGGCAACATGTGGGCTGCTGACGTATACTTCAGGGAGGCTTACCCGTCAGACTTGCATTGACAATGGTGACCTTCTGATCCCAGTTATCGACCAATTCGGCCCATTGCCTGCATTTCAAAATGCAAACAGCAAAGTTACACGGTGGGCGCGTATTGGGCTCAAAAACAGTTGGTGACAACACAGCACAGTTGACTCGGTCACCTCACTTTTCCTCGAGTAGCACGGATGTGCCAAAAGGGGCTGCGGCCACGTCAAGTGTTTTACATGACATGCCATCTCTACTCCTAGCTAGCTACTTAGCCCTAAACTAGGTGTTTTGCCCCTGGAAAGTTGCCACCCTTCTTAGAGTGGACTTGCCTGTGAGACGCTACATCCCCAGGAACCTGTCTTCAGCCCGTCTCCACTGTTCAAGTTCTGCTGGAGACATGTGGGCAAACGGGTCGCTCCGCTCGATGGTGGCTGCATCGGCTTCGCTTTCCGGTTCCCGGGTTGGCGGATCTGCCCGCTCAGGCGGAGCTGCCCGCTCTTCAGCGGTGCTGCCCGCACTGGCTGGTGCCGCCTCGGACTCATTTGACTCGGAGTCCTGGAGGTCCGACATGCCGTCGGGGTGTTCTCCTCGTAGGAGAGACTCTTCTTGGTTGCGCCATTCGATCAACTCCTGCATGGTCATTCTGGCCTCTGCGGCTTCTCGGACCCAACGTTCTTCATGCCACCTCTCGATCCCTCGAGGAATGAGTTCCTCAGGAGACCGCGGGGTTTCCGCTGGTGTCCGCGGGTCTGCCGCTGGCTCTGACCACGGGGTTGCCGCTGGCGCTGGATTGATCAGCGTTAGCTGCTGATTGTCTCCGGTTGCAGTCACCCTGATTCGTAAGGTGATCTGCTGATCTTGGATGTGCAATTGCACCTCATGGCCCGTTTCTTGAGCCTCTGGCTCGATTGGCCGTACCCAGTCCAAAACAAAAATGATGAACTGTCTTGCCAGTTGCCAGATTGCCCACATCAGCACACCCATGCCGATTCCGGCCAAGAAGAACAATCCGTACCATTCGTATTGGGACAGGCAGTACGTAGGCTGCCCTGCCACAGCCTGAATTTGGCTCAGGACAACAAGTGCCTTCATGCACCCGACCAGTTGTCCATCTTGACGATAGGCCGTGGCGGTTCTTCCCGCTCGATCTTGGTCTTTGCTCCAACCAACACAAGCTGGCGTAGGAGTCTTCCACGCATGCTGCTTGGTCACGGCTGAGACCTTGACAGAGATCTTCTTGCTCGAAGAAAGCACATCTTCTCCGTCATGGGCTTCATACATGCCTAAACCAGGCATTGTTTGCCTTACTTCCGTTCCACTCTTTGGGTGTTTAGTGAGGAAGTTGGCGCAATTCACGGTGCCCTTGACTTTGCCCAAAGCTATCTGCTTGGACTGTAAAGCTCCTTGCACATAGAACTCACAGACTTCAAGGTGTCTGAGTTTGGAACCTGGTCCAATGCGCTTGGAAGCTTGCATTGCCGATGAACTGTCCGTCCATAGGCGGGGCTTTCCGCACTGCTGGCCAAAATCTCGGGTGATCAGTTCCTTGAGGAAGATAGCTTCCCGAGCTGCCCTTGAAACTCCCCTGAGCTCAGCGTCCGGGCGAACTTGTCGCTGGTAGGCCCGGTTGGGTCTGTGAGCCACATGCAACGATTGCACCACACACAACTGCTATGTAACAGTCGGTGCTTCGCCGTGTCTCCAGGCATCCGGCCCAATCCGAATCGCTATACAATTCGCATGGCCACTCTGAGCTACTTTGGCGCTTTTTGGTTTTAGCTAGGTTGCAAGTCCACTTATAACCACTTAGGTTACGTTGATTTCTTGTCCACTTACGGGCAGTTATAACTGACTTATAATCACTTAGCCACGAGAAACTTCAGCAGCCACGTTAACACACGAGGATTGACCATGGTGGAGCACGATGCTTGACCAAAAACAGAGCACGAGGGTTGGCCAAAAACAATGAAAAAATTGAAGCCGCAAATGCGCTTTTTCCCGCAACGGTGGTATGTATGTATGTATGTATGTATGCATGCATGCATGCATGCATGCATGGATGCATGTATGTATGTATGCATGGATGTATGTATGTATGTATGCATGCATGCATGTACTGTATGTATGCATGGAGAGCCAAAAAAAATAAAATAGACAGTATAAACCAGGTTGGCTTGGAATAGAAAAGAACAGAATACAATACTTAGAATAGGTTGGATCAATTGGACCATTGACAATAGATTATAAATTCTAGATTTTGGATGAGGTGAAAGTAGAGGTGATTAGATGACATCAGACTATAGATT